TGCATTTGTTTTTTATTTTTATTTCATGAGTTCTTCACAATTTTTGCGGTGGAGTCGTGATTATGTGGTGGTTGATGGATGATTTGGAGTCATGATTTATGGTGGCCAATGGTTCGCAATCGCTGCTGCTATAGCGATGACTGTGTGATGATTGTGGGTTGTGCACTACGTTGTGATTTGACAATAATTTTTGTTGGTGACGGTGGATTTGAGGGGGGGTTTGATGGTTTTGGTGGTGGCGATGGTTTTTGTTGGTGGCGGGGGCAGTGGATCTGGCGATTAGGGTGATTTTTGTTGGATCGACTGTGGATCAAGAGGTGGCAATGGTGGTTTTATAGTTGAAAATGGTGATTTGTTGATGGTTCTGATGGTGAGTTGTGGTGGTAGCTTTGAAGTTAAAAATGGTAGTTTGTTGGAGGTTGTAACGGTGTTGATGGTGATGGTGAAGTGGTGTTTCTGCTTTCGATTGGTGCCATGGTGTATTGGGGTTGGGTGGTGTACATGGTGGGATTAATAGCGTTCATTACCAATTATTAGAGATTGTGGCTAATAAATTGGTTATTTTATAACTAATAAATAATGAGTTATGCTATATGTACATAATTTTTTACCTAATTTTTTACTCTACACTCACATTAGGAGGTGGGGACCACGAGCTGACATTTTTAAAAACACAAGGGGTCCACGCCCCATGTGGGTGGTTGGTTGTGTANCACTCACATTTGGGAGTGGGGACCACGAGTCGCATTTTTTTAAAAACATGGGGCCCGCCGCATTTGTGAGGGGGGTGGGGGGGACACCATTCGGTCACCCCCCTTCGGTACATCCAAATAAACCCATAAATAATATGTAATATAAAAATTTGAGCTATAACTTATAAAGTTTGTAATTTGTGATCGATAAATAAATTGTGATCTATAAATTTTTTGATTTCATATCGATCAATAAATTGTGAAATATAATTTTTTTTATATATGATTGTAAAATAATTTGTAACCTATAAATTTTTTTGATTTGTGATCGAGAAATAAGTTGTAACCAATTAATTCGATAATTTGTGACCAAATTGTATAGAATTATGACATTAATATATTTAATTCAAAAAAATATTTTTAATTAATTATTTCTTAAATAAATTTTAATTAATATCTGATTTTTGAAATTTCAACTTTTTTTTTTTAATTTTGAAATTGATCAAACTTAATATTTTCCCTATTATTATTTTCAATCAAAATACACCCAGCCTTTACATGAGAATGTGTGCTAAGCCCTTGTTTGACCCCCATTATTTGGTATTTTTTAGGGTTAAAAATTTTTGGAACAGTGATTGATGGGAGAATGTGTGGTGAAAAAGTAATGAAAAGTTTTAGATTTGTGTTTATTATTATTTCATTTGATGAATGTGTGGTTGTAATGAAGAGAGAGAAAAATTTAATGTAATGTAATAAAATTTAAGGGGGGCCAAACAGGGGCTAAATATGTAAATAAGTCTAATAAAAGAGGGAAATAAATTGGAGCATTGAACAGTTTCGCATAGAGTTGCATATTTCTGGCCCAATCAAAATTAAGCCTTATTTGAGTCTCATTATCATAAAATTCATTTTTTTAAAAAACTCATTTTCAACCACATTTTTTTAATAAATTAATTTTGCACATAAATTTAAAATTGTTCCTACTTATTGATCACGTGTTCTCCAAAAAACCATTTACAAAAAATATTTTTCACTAAAAATGAGGCTAAACATAGCCTAGTACGAATACGCACAATTATATAATACATGAGAAAAATTCATATTTCAGGTGTATGGTTTACACCAATTCAAAAGTCGGGTATATAGTTTAACAATTTAAAACTCAGATATTAGATAATTAGTTAAAAATATTTATTAATTAGGTCACAATTATACAATTAATAGTCACATATACATAATTATAAGTCACAATTTATTTATTGATAACGTATTATCAAATTAATTACTCACTAATGACTTCGAGGTCACAAATTCAAAAAATTATAGGTCAGAGTTAATTTCATTGGTCACATATTTTTAAATTTATTGGTTATCGATTATTTTTCAATCACATATTGTCAAATTTTTAGGTCATAGATAAACCAAATACTTGGTCACATACTACTGGCACTACCACTTCAGCCACTTTTGACCATCCTCACCCCGTCATCGCCATCACCACCACGGCCACCAACATCACCACCAACAAACCCACCACCACCGCATCCAACCACACACTATCACCTAGTGGTGTCAACGAGCCGAAAAAAAAAAGCTCGAGCAGAGCCCGAGCTTTTTGTGGCCGAGCTTTTTTCTGCCCGAGCCGAGCCCGGCCAAAAAAAATAAGGCTCGGAGCTTTGGCCTGAGCCTTAGCGGGCCGAGCCAACTCGATTTTTTTTTTTTAATTTTTTTCAGCTATTTTAGCTT